GGAAAGAGCATATGCTGGACTTTAAAACCAGCAACTGGGCAGTGACTCATCCTCCACCCACCATTCCTATATAATTTCCATCACAACCCACTCAGTGGAAACTGCAAAGCACTAAAGAAGCCAACACTGACTGAGTATCCTAGTGATGGCCATTGGTAGAACGAAATACACTTTCCTACAGTTTACAAATGAACAGCACCCTCTCTCTTATTTTGTAGGGTAGTACCGGGGCCATTCTTGTCACCACTGGTTTTATGTTCCTGCTGTTTATGCAAATGCAAGTATTACAGTCTCTAGCCAATGCCTTGATGGTCAAGACTTAAATACTACATTTATAGAAAGCCACTCACGGTAATAGTTTCACTCAGGAGTAATGGTGTATATATGCTATGTGATTCAATTTAATATAATTCAGGCTTATTTCATATGCTACGTGATTCAATTTAATATAATTCAGGCTTATTTCTATAATGCACATAGTTAGCATAAACGTTAGAATGAAGAGGCAAGTGCATTAACAAAACCTGGTGCTTCTTTCCTTAAATACAACGGATAACTTTCCACAATTAATTTCTTATCATCGTTGATAATCATAGTAATTCTAGAGTCACCAAATTTAAATCTAATTGAACAGTCACCAATGTCTCTGCAGTTGTTTCTCTATATAACAAAATGTTTCAGCTCAGGGCTCATTTTTACATTTTGGCTGCCTTGTGTACATCTTCTCTCCCTAGTTCTGAGGTCATCCTATTATTTCCTAAAATCTTGTTGCTTATTCAAACATATAGCCCAAAACGACAAAACGATTATTGTGAGAAAATACAGGCCTTCATCAAATTCAAATAAAAGTAGAGACCATTTGACGAAATAAGTAAGAACTTATTTTTTAAGGCTCAGAAGCTTTCCTTTTCTCTTCTCAGTGCAGTTACACAGACAGATGTCACTGCTGACCTTTTGGGAAACCATCCTCTGGTACAAATGAAACAAGCAGAATGCATTGCCCTATATGCAGGCTCCTGGTGATTGGACACAGCCAAATGGTTTCCTATAACAATGGTTATCTTACAGTAGCAATCATGAGAGGAGTAAAATATATAGGGGAGTCTGACACAATAATACCTTTGTAAATCACAGGAAAATGATTCCCCCATCAACGTGAACTATGTTCACAGTAAACAAAATAATTCAGAGAGACTTGATGATATGTTGGATAAGAAACAGAGAAACGGTGATGGAGGAGGCTAAAATCATGATTTTAATGTTTCGTAGCATTTACAAGCTATAGCTAGACCACTGACATCATACAAAGACTCATTTTTTTTTTCTCTGCAGTCAGACATAAGTTAGGGCACTACAACATTAGGGAACAAGATAAAATATCTTTCTGAATATGTAAATTGGAATTAGCATGTTACACCAAAGAGCAGTTGTTTGACAGCGACAAAAAAGACTCTATTATCTCTTAACAACATTATCCTATTGGATGGATTTTAAAACATCGTGTGATGGTATGATCATTGTTAATTAACCAAAATAAGATTTTTTTCAGACAAAGTTCAGGCTGGTCTGAAATCTGCTGTGTAGCTGAGGTTAATCTTGAACTTACAAAGATTCATCTGCCTCTGGCTCAATCATGGTGGCACTGGAAGGGTGTGCCACCACCCCTTATTGGCCAAAAGTTTGGTTCCTTCTATCATTACAATTGCTTCATGTCTAAATGAATAATCTGTTGTAGAAAATTCTAGTTTTTAAGTATTTTAAATTGTCTGTTACTTTTTCCAATTTCAGTGGCAACTAGTCTTTGGCCAAGAATTATTCTGGAATCTTGTGTCAATATAATCAAAGAAAGAGATAATTGACTTTATCCAGCCAACAATAATTTTGCAGAGCAATATGCCCAATGCACCCGCCAAGTTAGCAGAATACAGGCTTAACCAGAACGGAACAGGACAATCCAAAGGCACGTGTAGTAAATACATACTCTGTTTTATTCCCATCAGAGCACGGTATGCTTTACAATAGCTTATTATCCAAGTAGTCTCTCTTATTGAAATGTGGAAGACATGTAACTAACACAGATACTTTATTTAAAGTAAATGCATTATTACAGAAATATGATAATGGAGGGGAGGGGAGAGGGGGATGGGAAGAGAAATACAGACACAACAAATTATATCTATCACTATTTCATTATGCTGGTCTAGCTTTAATTCGTTAGAAGGGCCACAGCTCAGGCTGGGCTCAGGTGAGAACCTCATTATTTATTAAGGTCTCTCTGAAATATTTGCAAACATCTTCCCATCTCCTGGATCCTTGAAAAGCAGGATTTTGTTACTTTATTCTCACCACTGAGACTAGGCAGAAAAGGGAAAATTAGCACATGGTTTAATATCGGGACTGAAAATACCTGTGTTGAGTGGGAACTTTTCTAGGTTTCCTAGATTATAACGCCACTGTCCTGAGCTGCTTCCTGAGATTCTCACAGTGAGGTCTATTACGCCTATGATAGTATGTGGTAGAGATTTGTTAGATCGTCATCGTTTTAGAAATTTCACGTAAAAGGAAAAAGAGGCGAAACATTTACCCTAGGTTGATATTTATACTCTGTATTGATGCTCCAACAGCTTTGGCAGCCTTCTGAGGAGTTGGCAGTTTTTGTAAAAATATGTCAAAATAGAAGCACAACATCCTCGTGCTGCACCAAATAGCAGAACTACACTTCCTCATATGCCACAGCAGCCTTGGCAGTCTCTTCCTGCAGCCTCTAGAAAGGCAGGGCTAGGCTGGCTCTAAAGGTATGTGGTCTGATCTCCAAGCCCTGCAAAGTCACATGCTAGGCGCAACTTCCTTTAGTAAAAGCAACTATTTTATTTCAGCTCAGTTTTAAGAACAAAACAATTGGCTAAAAATAAGGAAAGGGCACACACAGACATTCTTCCATGCCCATGGGCTTTATGCTTCTGCTTAAAAAAAAAAAAGTCAAACTGCACTTAAAGAAATGCAAGTCTGTTCTTAATAGAAATAGTTAATCATAAGTAAAGCATAAATCTACCTGTGAAAAAGTCTTTTCCCATTGTAGCACTTTAATGTATTTTCTTCCTTTGTCTATAATTATAATTTAGTTCCAATTTGTTCAATCTGGTCATAATTATTCACTCCATATATTTTCATTATAGATGAAATTAATTTCTAAATAACCAAAATACATTTTCACAATTACCAACTATTTTAAAAATACTGTTTGTTCTGAACATTTTTTAATGGAGGCTAGCAACAGTGCAGACACTTGGGCTACATACAAAGACCATGGATGAAAATGGAACTTGGCAGTCATTTCGAAGTGAGTAAAAGGAGTTACTGTCAAAATAATCCCATGATTAACTGCAGGTTAGTGTTACAATGTTATATCACTATAATTCTTGTTATTGTTCTCAAAGGAAGTCTAAGTAGAATTATAGTAAAAAAAATAATTCTTCAATAAGCAACTTGACACAATCCCTTTCTGAAATGGGTAACTTTTAAAAAGTAGCTCAAGGCTCAGCTAGTATCCGAGCTACCACGATGATTGTGCTCTACTGGTAGCCAGAGGCTCCAGGAGCACTACACCCAAGACGTCATGGCTGGTTCATCTGAAAGGCTCCATGTAGACCATGCCTCAAAGCATGGCCCTTGGGCCAATCTGGCTACCCTCACGGTTTTCTGCTATGCCCCAGATAATATCCGCCATGCTTGAGGTATCCCAGTAGAAATGAGACTCTTTTTTTTTTTTTTCCAAGACAGGGTTTCTCTGTGTAGCCCTGGCTGTCCTGGAACTTACTCTGTAGACCAGGCTAGCCTCCTCGAACTCTCGAACTCAGAAATCTGCCTGCCTCTGCCTCCCAAGTGCTGGGATTAAAGGCATGCGCCACTACCGCCTGGCTAGAAATGAGACTCTTAAAGTTTAAAGATTATCCAATAGATTTATACATTTGGAAATGATTAATACAGAAGATGCCCACACAATTAGAATTGTTACACAACATCTAACCTTTTGATATGAATTGTTACCCGAGACTGCTAGCGACCCATATGTCTTCCTCCATGTTGTCTTCTCTCTCCCTACCTCTTCTACTGTCCAATCACTGAGCTCTATTGCAAAAAAAATGTGGCAAGAAAATTCCTGCAACACCTTTCCTTAAAGTGTAATTACAGAAGAAAACTCCTTTATTACTGGAAGCCTACTAACAACAACCCAAGAAAGTCATGTAGACATACAGTGATGAAAACACGCAGAGTACTCTTGCACAGGACAGCCCCAAACTTCACCATCTTCATGTGTCCCAGTCGAGGAGGGGCTTTTATGACTGTTTTAAAGTTCAAGCATGTGAAGAAAAAGTTCGAGAACAAAATCTCATTATTTTTATTTTGAGAACACACACACACACACACACACACACAATTAAGTATGACAGGGTAATACTTTTAATTACCACAGACAGGGAGAATGGCGTGAATGTTCAGGCTTCTTCCCTGCTGTCAGCTTTTGCAGTGTGCTCTCTTTCAGTGCCACACAGACCTTCTGTTAGTCATGTTCAACCACCGCGACTCACCTATTTTAAGCCTTAACCTTACCAGATTCCAGACCAGGCTCACAGTATGGTCCCTTCCTTGGATGAACACATTGCATTTCACTTAGATGATTCCATGTGTGACTGTAAACTCTATCGATTCACAGAAACATTCTGACACATATATGATTCGTGGTTGGGATAAATTAGATTATTCACTACTCAGACAGAACTAAAGATTTCCATTTACTAAAAGAGTCTTTTGTGACGTAATCCAAATGAAGAATTTCTAGGTGTGATATATTATAAAGCCTTGGACAGAAAATTAAAGATGAATCATTGATAGATTTTGAAAAAGCTTTTAGGTAGAGTATCTGATCATACCAAAGCAAATACTAAAATAAAAACAAATTCTTGTTATAGAAAGTACCAGGAAATACAGAACACACTCACCATTCCGACTCTCTTCATCAATGGCCACGATGGTAGCTGGAGGTCCTCCCCTAGCTAGTTTGCAATCTAGAGAAAAGATAATCCAAGGTTATAATTAACAATTGCAGAGAAATTACACAAAATTAAATCCACTAATATATATACATATACATTGCATATACGTGTACATATACATACAAAGATTGATGTTAAAACTTATAATCAAATTAATATACAACATTTCAAGTGTTTTGCTATGAAAAGGAAACATTTTCTAAGGCCCACACAGATTCTATGATTCTACAGCTAAACATTGTCCAAAACTGTGAAACCAGCAAAGATGGTCGGACAGCAGTCCTTCTGGACAGAAATAATGGAATGGTAATTTAACCCAGAGAAATAACATAGGGAGATGATGAACAGGATAAATGGTGAGAATGCTCCACAACAGAAACAAACATAACTGGAAATTAATTGTGATAGAGGGTGTGATTAAAGAGAGTGAATAGAATTTTAATAATGCCGTATAAACAATAGAGCAAAAATGGACACAGAAGAGATGCCCATGAGGTGCTGTGGATTGTTTTAGTCACCTTACCCTCGTATTGCCAGTCTGTAGTCAAAGTATAGAATCACCAATGGGAGCAGATCAGAAAACAGAAGAAAGAGAGGAAGAAAGGATACATGTATATATTTAGCAAGAGATTCGCATATACATAAAAGTCATTATATAGTAATTCATGAATTACCTAATGATCTGTGGAAAGGAGACACATCAGATTTTATAATTTGAGTATAATGTTAATACCAAAAATAGATAGCATATACATATACTATTAGCATTGAACTATTTTGTAGTATTTTAGATTAATGTGACAATAACATCAAGTACATTTATACAAAATTTTAAAAATATATATTGCTGATGAAGGGTGTTTATCTCTCCACTGAAATCTGCAGAATAGTTTCTTTGAATCAGAAGTGATAATAAATTTGCATTTTAAACTCTCGTCTTACCTTATTGAGGATTACTCAATTATGGCTCTAAAAATATCATTATAATTTCAACGAATTAAAAGTGAAGGCTAAACCTACAAGTTGCCACACATACATTTCAGAGTCAGGTGTGCCCTTCCAAGTTATACAGAGCCTTTTACATGTCTCTATGTATGTTTACAATACATATGTATGCTGGAAATTATCTTGATATGACTAACATGTTTGATATCTGGAAGGTGATTTCAAGATTTTCTGATAAAAAGTTTGCTGCCTTTTATGCATGTCAGCATAGGCCATACAGTCTTTGGAAGCACAGTTCTGAGAGGTGCGCTCTCTTCTGAAGTGAAAATGCTGGCAGGTCTGCAGGCTTAATCTCTTCATCTTTATCAATGTTTGAGAGTCCCTCTTCACAGCTCATATCTGTGGAAACTCTGTACTCTCTTCTCTCCTTCCTGCATCTCTCAACAGCTTGACTCTCTGTCTATCCCCTCTGCTCTTACAGAGAGTTTATCAGCAGCCTCCCAGAGGCCCCATTCCTAGGTCTAGGAACAAGGATAAAATATGACCATTTCTTTTGCTAAAGCATATTATGTGTTTCCTTTGAAGTAAAGACAAACCCTAATAACCATCTAAATTTTCTCTCCTCTGACCCAGCTACACTTGAATCTGGTTTAAATATGCCTGTGTTAGTAGTTTGTATTTCTAGTTGTAAGCCTGGCCTTTAATGGCTGAGCCATCTCTCCAGGCCCAGGTTAGTCTTTGTACAGCCATGACAGGGAGTGGTATACTTTTGGAAATGTGGAACGGAGATATCGGGAACCAAACCTCAGAAAGAACTAACATAGGTCTCTAGAACCCTGACTGGTTCGCATAAGACAGATGTGGTCTGAAATGATGAACCTGGTTTGAGCCCAGCCCTCATCTTCCTGTGTGACCATGTGGTCCTTCCCTTACCTCACGCTGTTACCATTGATATTATCTTTGATGAAGACTGAGTGGAAAGCCAAGCAGATGGACTAGCCGATTTCATATGTGAATCCTAAACTGTACGTAAAAGAAAAATCTTTGTTTCCCCATCCTGAGTTTTTGTTTGTTTGTTTGTTTGTTATCGATTTCATGGGAAGAAAGGTATTAGGTTGAAAGGGTTGAGGCCAGAGAAACAATGACATACATGTAAACAGACCCACAGGTAGAGCTCAGTGTTGTGGTCATGAAGTCAATCAATTAAAACAATTACTAATGACAGAAATAACTGAACCAACACTGACAATTAATTTGTGGGAAGGGATGGAGGGACCATGAGAAAGGTGGAGGTGACTGAGAAGCAGAGCAAAAGGAATCCTGGTTGGTGAATGAAGAAGAGGATTCTAAACTGTACTTGTCTCTTCAGCTGCATGGGATAGAGCATGTATTCGTCACGACTGTTCCTTTCATCCAGGTATAGCAAGGACCTAAAACTATCACAGGTACAGCGAATAGATAAAACTGTCCCATTCCAGTGTGAATACTGGTAGATGAAAAGATATTTAACTAGTAGGTTTATGAGTCGGGGGGATGGAGGAAGACAGAGGAAGAGGTTAACAGGTAAATCCTAATTTCTCACCAGTAAGCTACCACAGAAGGTAGACTACCAGCAAGATGACTCAGCTGGGAGCTATATCTGTGACACCCTTGGTGAAAGGGAGAGCTGACTCCCACAAGTTGTCCTGTGACATCTGTATACATGTGATGACGTGCATGGCATGTGTTCACACATAAACACAAACAAGCAAACAAAGGTAAATTAAAATGTAATAAAAATTTTTGATGAAATGACAGATATTACACAGTTAAAACCAAAACCAATCCAAAAAAGTAGAAAGTGTGTGTGTGTGTGTGTGTGTGTGTGTGTGTGTGTGTGTGTGTGAGAGAGAGAGAGAGAGAGAGAGAGAGAGAGAGAGAGAGAGAGAGAGACTTTTATACCCAGTCCTACTTGACCCACAGTCCCTGGCTCATGGGTTACTTCCTAGACATATGTGAACATATCTGTTTGATGCTTTAATCTTCTGGGAGATTGCTTGCTTTCCTGTTCTTTATAGCCATCTTTAATTTTTTTTTTTTAGGACTTTGAAGGAGCATGACCTCTTTTAGGAATCTTCAAACATATATTTCATTGAGTTCATTCCCTGTTTGGGAAAGTATCATTAACCTACATCTCCTTGAGCTGCCTTCAGACTAAGTCTATGCCCAACAAGAGCTGCTTCCAAAAGAATACTGTTGGTTTTCTGTGAACAGTGGTCTGCCTACCTGCAATATCTTGTCTACCATGTTTCCAACAGAATTGTCCAAACTTACTGTCCCCTCAGTAGTTAAAAAAAAAAGTCACAAAGTAAATGTTTAACTCAAATTCCTTAAGGTTAGATCCTCTAAGAAGTTCTCATTTTTTACCAATGAATTACCACATCCAACCAATACTTCAGGATTGGTCTAAGCTTATTTTAATTTTATTATTTTTAAACATAGAACACTAATGAAGGGAAGCTTGTCAGACAAATAACCTATTAATAACATTATTCAAAGCAGCTCAAGTGTTTGTTTTGAAATGGTGCATTCATGAAAGTATAATTAGCTCTGAAATTCAGGAAAAGAGTTTAATATGTTTATTTAGAATTGTCTTGAGAAGAGAGTAATTTTGGACGGACTAGGCAAGGATTTATTCAGTGCAAGATATACTCAATGAAGTCAGAGGGACCACTAAGAAGCAATTTGGAATTTCCCTGTCCTTTCTCTATAGCCTGTTAAGAATCCATTGCTGTGAGGAGGGTGAGTTTGCTGGTGATGTGTAGACCTGCGAAATGGGCCCTTTCCATCTCTTTAGTCTTCGCTGTCCTGGGTAAACCATATATTGATCACTCATGCTGAGAAATGCCAACTGCTTAGGGCCTTACACATTTCTGACACCTAATGTATTATTATTATTAAGTGTAAGATATGAGTGCCAATACCTGAATATCAAGGTAGCTTGTTCTAGATATGTGCCATTATACTAAGTATACACCATGTGTCCCTCAATGATCATGGGTCACTGGTTGGCTTGAGGATCAGAAGGGAGTCCTAGCGTGGCATGCAGTGGCATGACTGAGAATCAAACCTCAAGATGTTCTGGTTGGACTGTTGCCCAAGGACCACTCAGCTCAAGTGCTAACTGAGATAGTCACCCACAAGAGGAGGCAGCCAGGGAAAACCACCCAATTGTAAAATTTTTCTTTAGTATCAAGCAATGTAGTTGCAATGAAATTCAGAGCTATTCACTTTGGTGGTATACTGATGTGATACCTGTCACCTGAGTGTCAATGACTGGCACACTGTTTTCCCCACCAGTTTCCTGGGAGTTCCATTCACCAGACAATGTCTGCACTTGTCATTTCAAAGCAGAACTCCAAAATCAAAAATCAGTTGTTACTTTGTCCCAGTTCAAGCTGCTCATACCTCTCAATCACACTGGGAAGTACACAGCCATATTTGTGAGCCACCTCCTGAGTGAATTTGCCTATGCCTACGGGAGGCGAGATGAATATGTTCAAAATATATGCTATGAAATTCTCAAGGAATTGATAAAATATTGTTGAAATGATCAGTCATTTTATATGAGCTACAACTAAATATTTTTATGACCTAGAACTCAACATACAGTGTTATTTTAGAGAAAAAAAATAAAAAAATGTTGTATGGCCCACCAGATGCTACAACATACAATCTTCTCTGACCTCTCAAACTCATTTAATAGATGTCCTAACCAAAGGTTAACATCCAGCTTTTTTCCCCCTTAGCAATTTCCCTTTCATCCAGAGCTACCCACAAGCCCTGTTTTGTGATTTCCTGTTTTTATTCGTTGTGACCTATTTACAACTTCTACAGATGTCAGCATGTGCCTAACTTTGCCAAGAAAACCTTCTCTGGCCCCTGACTAGGTAAGATTCCCTGATGCATACTCTTGTAAACTCTCTGCCTGCATCACTGCAAAAATACAGATCATTTGAGATGATCAGAATCCCAATGACAAAACCTAGTAAAACTCTAAACCTTTTATATACTCCCTATGGT